CAAGGAGAGGCTACGGGACCTGAACCTGTTCAGCCTCCACAGGAGAAGGCTGAGGGGGGATCTAGTGGCCTGTTACAAACTCATCAGGGGGGACCAGCAGGCATTGGGGGAGTCCCTGTTCCCCCGAGCACTACCAGGAGTGACTAGAAAAAATGGTCACAGGCTGGCAGAGGGTAGATTTAGGCTAGATATCAGGGGTTGCTACTTCACAGTTAGGGCAGCTAGGATCTGGAGCCAACTTCCAAGAGAAGTGGTGCTGGCTCCTACCCTGGGGGTCTTTAAGAGGAGGCTGGATGTACACCTTGCTGGGGTTGTTTGACCCCAGTACTCTTTCCTGCCATGGCAGGGGGTCAGACTTGAAGATCTACTCAGGTCCCTTCCTACCCTAGAAACTATGAAACTGTAACTTTACACAAGTCAATTAACATATATAAAAAATGGGATCATGGTACTCCATGTACCGACCGTCTCAGAAGTGCTTGGTGAGCGGTTACTGGCTGCATCTATGCTTTCATTAATATGCCGCGGTCCGTGAACATTAAGTTTAGTACTTGCATAACCAAGTACTAAATAAATGCCCAGTAACTGCTGTCACTGAGCAGGAGCGCTGGTGCATGGCTTTCTAGCGTTGCTAACTGCAGAGTAGCGTATTAGCACAGGGTTTGTCCGGCATGCTGCTGCACACAGTGTTATTAGGCTACTGCGCAGTTAGCGTCTCGTGTAGACACAGCATTTTAAAATCACTTTACAAGCACAGCATGAACACTAAATAGTATGGTACATAAATTATTTGCTGAATGTGTAATTTAAACTAGAGTGGGGAGTGAAGGCAAAGCACGTTGGTCTGTGCACCCAGTGTGCCTGTTCAAAAGAGTTGGTCAGAAAACAGGCTCATATTTCATAATTGTGCCAACAATAAAACATACATGTGCAAGCTGTTATGGCCTAGCTGTCATGCCTGCCTGATTCTCTCCTGATCCTATAACAAAACAGATTCATTAGGAGTCAAAGTTAGTGCCAGGTAGCTAACTTGTATCACTGCAGGATCATGCAGACAAAAGGGGTGACGTTTGCTCAACAGCAGCAACTCTCGCCCCTCTTTTAAAGCGTCTATAACTCATGTTTATCCATACGCTGTATTGGATATCTTTTCCCTTCCCTAAAGCATTAATAATTACACAGTATTGCCAATCAGAAATCCAAAGGATTAACCCAGCCTTTATATCAGACTCTTGTGTACAGTCAGGCATTGAATATTTGAAATATACTTACCTCTCATGACCTCGTTGACATCGCGACTTACAGGTTGTTCCCGAAGTAGTGGACATCCTGGCATTATTCTCCCGCCATTTGGGTAAAAATCCAGATGTCCAGAGGGCTCATTGATTCCAACAGCTGTAAAATGTGACGTGTTCAGGGCTGACTGCCTTCTAAGTGGCAGCTGGCAAGCTCGGTGGATTGGCCTCCATGCAAAAACTTACCAAAGTCAAAAAACAAGCGACCAGCATTACTGTGAATGACATCAACAAATTCTGCATCGGAAGGATCCAGCCTGACCGCAGGAGGCGTGGAATGGAAATAAGGCCCAGCCGGATCCAAGCCTAGGTAGAAAAGGAACGTGCATTGTGATTTATTACGTGTAGTTCGCTAGATGGAAAAACCTTTTTGTTAGGCATGCCACAAATTAGACCCACTCCTTCCCCGAGTGCCACTCCAATCCCCTTTCACTGTCCAGTGTGCTTTTCCTTCTGTTCCCCGCCGTGTCCTCCCTGCTCAATCTGCTGCTCGGCTTTCATTTCCGTGCCCCGTGCTTCCTGCCCCATCTGGTGCTCTGCTTTTTGCTGTGTGCTGTACTGCCCGTCCCCTCGCTGATCTACCGTGGGCCACACAAAGACGCTGCCTATGTCACTTGTGGCACGTGTGCTGCACATTGGCCACCCCTGTTTCCACGTGCATTGTAACCTTTCCAGATTAAGGTCTACATTTTGGACTGTGCACCCAGATTGGCACTGACGGGGGCAGTTGTCATGATGGGCACAGGCACAATGGTTAGCATCTAAGCGGTAGTGGATGGAGACTTTGTATGATACTTTTGTGCATATGAATAAATCACAGTGCTCTCCAGTGACAGTGAGCCAGTATTGCCTACACCCGGTTTGCATCTGAAGTAGTACCCCGTTCAGTCCTAATGCTAGTGCGCCCTTTTTTTTAAGGTGAAGCACGGGAGTTTTAATCCTAGCTCTCCATAAATGAACCACGTGATTTTTGTATTGTGCACAGACATGATTTAGTTACAGTGCTGTTCCTGCACCAGTTAGAATTGAGCATAATGTCTTATTAGGAATTACTATAGCTTTATTCTCAAAGGTCACAACTTGAAGTGCTGAAACAAACTGTTGAACTGGACTGTTGAGAGTAAATAAGATAATGAATCCTGAATGTTTTAAAAGTCTGCAGCCTCAAGATGAGTAACGGTCCCTAATTTATTCAACTACCATTAACTAATATTTTTCAGCAGAGACAGGAGTCGTGGAGCCCTGTGCAAAGTGGCATGTCTCCCACGCTGGCTGTGCTTTTCCTGCCTTTGTCTTGGGCTTGCCTGGCTTCCACAGTGCGGGACTAGAAACACAGCAGAGCTCAGAGAGGGTGAGGAGCAGCTGAGAAGTTCAACCTCTGCTGCAATTCAGTCTTCCTACTGACAACTGAAGCCACATATGGATATGGGGAACTGAAGACAATGTTCTGGCATGTGATGAAGGGTTTGTGAAAAGGCAAGACCCAATTTTACATATAGCCATTGCTTCTGGTAGTACTTGTCCAGGACAGTGTGTGCTCTGGATGCACCAGAAAGCAGGGGGTTCTTGTCCTTGGTTACGTTATCCTCGCTTTAGTCTCACAAGATGGAATAGTCTCTGGTACCTGTTATTCGAGCAATGCCTCTCTTCCTCCTTCCTGCTTCACCTGCAGCATGTGCTCCAAGACTGTGACCAATAATGTGGATGTTGGCAGGCGTGTATCCGTAATCTCTCTGAAACATAGGAAAATGGGAGGGAGGAAAGTGTGTATGTTGGGGGCAGGTGGTGACTGTGATAATTACTGGGTAAGGGGACTGACAGGGAGTGGGGGCTGTTGGGAGCTATCTGCAGACCCCGTTCCCTGCAGGTGTATCTGATGCTTTGTGCAGCAGAGGCACCCCACAAATTAATTTATATGGAAAAATATATGGGATATCTAAACTGGAGATGTAGATCTCATGCAGCGGCCTTGAGCCTGCAGCAGTCCTGAGATGATGAATGCCTTCCTTGCTCACAGCAGTTATGCAGTATTGCCAACTCTCATGATTTTTGGCATCGTTCTTAAAGTCTACGCTTTGGGAACGTGAAAAACTTAGCTCTTCCTCTTATGTATGTATATAAATACATATAAAAGAAAGAGCTAAGTTTTTCATATTCCTGAAGCATAGACTTTAAGAACAGTGCAGAAATCATCAGAGTTGACAACACTGGTTATGATCAATTTACTTCCAATGCATACTAGGCCATGACCACAAATTCTGTGCCCCTCCCAAAAGCCTTTGCTGCTTCATGCCTCTGTATCACCTGTGCACCGGCAAGCCTGGTCCTCACTCCTGGAATCGGTGCAGAGACAGCAAATGGACTTTCCTATGTCCCATGCACTCTGCAGTACTCCTGACACCCATCCCCTTCCCTCGAGTGAGCCCTGGTGGGGGCATTTAGATTGCTGTCTGTGCTGCGTTCGTGCTGAGGATGAATTAGATTTTCTTCTCTGAGTGAGTCAGCCCGTGCCCTTCCACCAGCCCTCAGTTCACAGTTGCACCAACATGAAATCCAGAGCAGTTAAGGCAAGAACGTTTGAGCACACCTCTACCCAACGATGGGCCGATCGGCTTCCTTTTCTAAGGAGACACTACCACCTTGTGGCATATTTGGGTAATTCAAAAGTCATTTGTAGGATCTGTCCAACGTGTTTCATGGTTGTGGCACAGATCCTGCAAACATTAGACACGTGGTTAAGTTTCATAGGCATGTCATGATTTATGGTAAAGCATGTGGTTGCAGGAGTGGAGGCTGTAAATACGGTTCTCTTGCATAAGGTTATCAGCAACTCTGCTTTCTGTCTATGCCAAGTCAGATCTAAGCATGCCCTTGGTATTTTTTTGATCCATCGTGAGAAACTTTAGAGGCTGTAAAGAATATAAGATGAAAGCTCCCCTACACAGACCATATGATGTGGTTATGCGTCTACACATAGCATGGAATGGTGGGTAAATAAGATATCTTTACCTCCAGAAGGTCCATTAAATAGTTCAGTTCTGCCCCCACAATTCGAACGTTGCTGACTGCTTCTGTGTATATGACATCTGCGCCACCCCTCCAGTCTACGACAACGCAGTTCACATCTTCCACTTGAAACATGACCTGGTGTATGTGAAAGCGAGAGAATGCAAGAAATGGATAAATTAAGAGTAATCCAGGTTAAAGCTAGGGATTTAATTCGTAATGTATTGGAGTGGGCTATGGAAAGAGTATGCTTTCAATTATGGTGCTGGATTTTGTGTCCCGTACCCATGAACTTAGACACTGCCCTTGCAAGAAGCTCATGCTTAACCTGAAATTCTGCTTCTCTTCTATGACTAGTCCTGTTGAAGTCTATGGTGCAACTTGTGGATCTATTTCAGCAATTGCAATGGTAGGGACCAGACTTCTATTTAGAAACAATAAGATGGAGACCATATGTGACTGAGTTGCTTTTTCTTCAGATATATTCTCAGAAGAATTGCTATCTGGGTTCCAGCTACAAGGCTGGATTTGACTTTCAGTTACCCCAATGCCGAACATTTTCTGCAGTGAATCATAAGATATTTCTTAGAACTCAGGTATGAAAAAAAAGCACATGAAGGGTTTAAAAACTGAGATGATAGTTCATTCATATGATTTAGTGAGAAACCACGTAGTAAATTGTTAAAAAAGGAATGGAAGCTGAAATTTCAAACCTGAATGGAGTAACATTGAAGTAAAATACTTGTATTCTACCTTGCACATGTCTATTAGCCAAACGATGTCATTTCCGATAGAATATCCATGTAGAAGAAAACGAGTTGTCCTGTTGGTTCTGAAATTTGAGGCTTTGATAGTTGAGGGCTTTATGGCAGAAATTTCCTGTATTTAAAAAAAAAAAAAAAAAAAAG